TAGTTCAGTTCTTATCAAAAAAGTAATACAATCATTATGGAAAAAATTGGCTGTCGGTCGGTACTAAAATTCCGATATCTCCGTTATTTCTTGACCGTTTATTCCAAACTTGGTATTGTTTTCTATTTTTACTCAGATCTTTCCACTGGAGCAGTTTTTATTTAAATCGGATGAACTTCAATTTTTTTGTAACATACCTACATGAATATCCGCATTAAAGCAGTACAAAAGTTAGTGTGGCTTTTGAAATTGAAGCAGTACGCGAGGAATTACAGTACTGTTAGCACAAAATGCACATTCGACGTTTATATTAGCACGAAAAACAAACAGTTTTGTCGAAAGCAAGCGCCACGAGTGTACAAGTGTATCGCAGAAAACGTTACGTACTGGTAGCATTCAAAGTCGCAAAAACGAAGTTTTGTTTACAACCACGACTTAAAATCTGTCAGGGTGACAAAAGTGTCTGAGCGGATGCGGAAAGGCCTATTATTACGTCACTTTTCTGCATCTTGCCGATTGGCCAATGTTACGAAATAAACAAGGACGACGACGCTCGTGAAAATCTTCCTTGGAAAAAAATTTAGCCATTTTTGCGTGTTATTGCGGACCGGATAAAATGACGCCGCGGGCCGGATAAAATGACGTCGCGGGCCGGATCCGGCCCGCAGTTTGGTGACCCCTGGTTTAGGGTGAATATTGCATGTTACTATCAACACTGATTAGGGTGGTTACAAAAAACACCTGGCATGATTTATATTGTTAGGCCATAACATTACTAGTGACAGTTGTGATTTAACAATATGCCAAATAATTTTTTTGGTTGATTTTATGACGAAACAACACGAAATGCATTTTTGTAATACTTTCCGAATGTGACGCTGGCCACAGATAATGAAGTGGCGGGCCATATGTGGTCCGCAGTCCTGGGTTTCGACCACCCTGATATAGGCCATGCCTGGGAGAGCGAGGGGGTTTACATTTAGTTGGATCTGCAGTTGGTGTTTATCATGGATCTGTTGAATGCCCGCGTACAATTGAGCTAATATTTTATAATAACAGTTCTTATGGCTGCATTTGTTTGACTTAGTTGTTAGTGTTTTAACTCTAGATATACTGGCCCAAGTCACATCAGGCATTATTCAGTTTGTAATGTAAAGATTACAATCCTCCCAAGCATGGCCCTATATGCATAAGTAGTTTCTATTTAACAGCCTTACTTATAGCGGAGGTCTGACATAGCTAATAAAACTGGTGACTGGCGTGTATTGTCTGAACCGCTTGTTTTCCGGGTGTGACAGATTTTAAAAATTTTTATGACATTAAAGATAAAAGGTGGAATTTCATAATATATTTTACAATCTTGGTATTTGTGTTTCATTTCACAATAACTTACAGAGTAAATTAATGCCAAGCCAGAGTATTTTTTTGCATTACTAGGTGCAGGTACTTTTACTTTGAGCATTTCAGAACTGAAAAAAAAGATTAATATTCTAGTTCATTTATTTTTGATTAGAATAAGTTAAAACTGGATTCATTAAGGTATTGTTAGATATCAATGTCTGCTTTGGCCTTCTTCAGAGCAAAAGGCACGAGAAAGCGTCGCATTATGTAATTGTGAAAACAAAAAAGTTTGCGTACGCTCTTGCATAAAGGCAACGCTTGGGCTTACACAGTAGAGAGGGTTTATACTCAGTTGGGTTTATCATGAATCTGTGGAATGCCTGCGTACAATTGAGCTAATATTTTATAATAACAGTTCCTGTGGCTGCATTGGTTGTTAGTGTGTTAACGCTAGATATGCTGGTTCAACCCATATCGGCATTATTCAATTTGTAATGTAAAGATTATTATTATTGCGATAATATGCAAATATTTATAATTCCGTGGTATGTGAACCAAAATTGCGGACACCGGAAAGTAGTATGTGTACCATGGGTGACCGTACATTTGAACCCATGCGTATATCCACGGGTTCAATCTATATGCGGGTGCTAAAACCCATGGGTTAGGGTTAGTATGGGTTTAACTATCCGTGAAACAAAAAAAATTCAATAGCATACAGGTGCAATTGTCATGGGTTCAAATGTACGTGGGTTCAAATGTAATGGAACCGTACCATGATATGGTTAGGCCATAATTTCAGGTACAAATACTACGGGAGTTTCTCGGCCAGTCCCCGAACTCGTAATATAACTAAAATAAGTAAAGATGGAATTAAAATTATGGCCTTAGCCCGGTACACATACTATTTTCAGTTGTCCGCCATTTTGGTTCTCATAAAACGGGAGCGGTGAAAATATTAATGAAAAAACAAAATATATAAACACTCACAGACTAGTCTTCAAGCTTCTGAGCATTGTTAAAATGTACGCCTGTGTTATATACGCAGGAGCAATGGAAATACAAACAATTAAGTAACAATCACGAACATATATTAACACTGTTTGACTAATTTAACCCAATTACAGCGAAATTAAACTTTCAGTAGATTTGTCACGAAACTTGCTTATACAAAAATCAAGACGAATTAATTACCATTATTAAAAAAATAGGTGAAATCAAGCGTAAAATGAAAAAAAAAATCCCGCTGTGTTACGAGTCACCATTGAATTCTGTAACTGTATATTAATTTAAGTTACGCCTCGTGAACTGCCCCGCAATCAAGTACCGATGAATTACCTTGAAATTATAAAGATCCCTACACACCCTCTGCGTTGTCGAAATATCATCGCCAGTACTTTTCCATTATGTTCACCTTTGTCCCAGGCTGACAAATTAAATAAATCTATTTCGCAATTCGAGGTCCCTTATGTTCAGACGTTTTGTCGATAAGAATAGTCGCCGCAATGACAGACGAAGGATGAGGTTTCGAAAGCAGAACAATAATCGGACAAGAGGCCGTGACTATTCAATCCGCTTTGTTGCTTTCCTCTGATTTAGTACAAATGGTTGAATCCAAAATATTATGTCATTGATGCAGTTTTCATTTGGTTAGAACAAATATAAAATCTTCTGTATCCCATACTTAGCACACTTATCTGGATTACCCAACGATTGCGCATTATTCCGAGCCAAGGTAGATATTTAATGCAGAATAAATGGTTAAAATGTTCATATCAAGGGAATTTAAACTATGTTTTGAGTTAGGATAGATGTATAATTTGGGTCTGGCTGGAATAATTAGGTAATCTTCGGTTTCTCGAAGATATTGTTCCCCATTGGTATATGTTCCAAACTTGCATCACTTATCTTATCCGAATTACCCAACGCTTACCCACAGTTCTGAGTTATGTTAAATATTTACTGCGTAATGAATGGTTGAAATATCCCCATGGAGTGGAATTTACGCTATGTTTTGCGGTTAGGATAGATGTATAATTTGGGTCCGATTGGGATAATTATGAAATCTTTGGTATCTCAAAGATGTTGTTTCCCACTAGTTCCACACTTGCCACAACTATTCGAATTATCCAACACATGTAATGCGGAATAATTCTAGAAGTGGAATTTACACTTTTTCTGGGTTGGGACTTGGGATAGATATCTACTTTGCGGCTGGACATATATGAATACATAGCCTTTGAATTACATGTTTTTGAATTGCTGAGTGGACTTTTAAATGCTGGATAGGTGGTGATATATATTATGTTATAATTTAACTAAATACTTCAAGTCTCAAAAATCACAAGCAAAGAAGGCAGTCGGCAAGCAAAATAAAGAGAGTGTGATTTAGAAAAAGAATCTGATGCGATCAAGTATTCAAGCTCATGATATTTCAGGGTTCGCCCATTATTGTTCCTTTTGAGAAAGTGTTACACTGGGCAAATGTTTGTTTTACTGCGCATGAATATTTTAGTGCTGAGCAGAGTCTTTTATCAGGGATGTGCAATCGTTAATACAGGCGGGGTAGATACAAATAACTGAGTGAAACCGCGGTTCGCACCATTATTAAACATATGCTTTCTAGTAGTTTCAGGCACAAAATATTTGGTTATTGATCTTATGACATGCGATGTTCCCTTTGCACAAGCTCAGATATAGCACTCAGGTTTAGGCTTTGCAACGCGAAGGGATGGAATAACTTGCACATACTAGATTGAACTGAAAACTCTGGTTGTGCGGGCCACACACTATTCAAAATCGGCGCTTGTCCGCGGGCCGCAGGTTGCACCGTCATAATGATTCACATACTATTACAATAATATGATTGCACTGGCAATCTATGCTAGGCTAAAACTAGCCCTTTCCAAATGATTTCCAATAATTCAAGGCACTTGGTATGTGACATCACAATGAACAGTGGAGAGCAGACTACCTATTCTAGCTAGGCGTTAGAAAATATGAGTCCGTGTTTGTGATTTAGAAGCGTAATGTTGCAAGTGCATAAGAATGAAAATTTAACTGCACAACGGGTCTGTTGGCACTCATTACTTTGCTCAGAGATGAGTGTTCTTTACTGAGTGCATATAATGCACCACCATAATTTCAAATAGTTCCTGTAGCTCTTGGCATTTCAGTGACATGACATGTGACTTAACTAATAGGTGAGTTCCCTTCACTATTGAGTAAGTGCGTATAATGCACCACTGACATTTTAAATACCTCCAATAGTTTTTGACAGCCGGTATAGTTGTCAGTCGGTAACTCCGCTCAGAGATGAGTCTCATTTACTACTGAGTGAGTTCGCACAGTACCATAATTACACAATCAGGATTATAGTTTTTGTAGCTCTTGACATTTGAGTGATAAGTTAAATGTGAGATGGGACTATTTTACCTATGAGTGAGGGCTTGTAATGTGCTGCCTTATTTTTAAATAGTATTTACAGCTCTTGGCATTTGACCTTAACATAGGTATCTTTACAAATTGGGATTTGACTTTTTTGTAACCTTGAATTTTGTTTTAATCTCTCATTCTCTATATTGTGTTGCTAAATTGATATTCTCTAATACTTGAAATATTTACCTAATATACAAATAACAGAATCTGGTTAGGTTAGCATCTTGCTGTCATCTACACTTATTATTGAAGCTTAGCCCTTAGTATTTATCTGCTAAGATGCAAAAAATAACTGAATTCAAACAATCTGCAAAGATTACCCACTCATTGAATGTACTTACATCATTCAATGAACTAAAACAATCCAACTGCATTTGTAACTTCACAATCAAAGTTGGTGACAAATCCTTTAACGTTCATCGAGATCTGCTTGGCGCAGTATCAAAGTACTTCAAAGGCATGTTTTCAAGTAACATGGTTGAGGCTCGGAATGGTTTTGTCATTATGAAAGACATCTGTGCTGATGCTGTAGGGCAGTGTGTCGATTTCATGTATACTGGTGAAGCAAATCCTACTATGGAATCTGTTGAAAATACCTTATATGCTTCCCACTTAATGCAGCTTGATGTATTATCAAGTATATGCTTCAATTTCATGGAAAATAATTTGTCAGTGCAGCATTGCCTTCCAGTGGTCAGGTTGGCAAGACTTTATGATTGTACAGAGCTAGAAACCATTGCTGAACAATTCATTGTGGATAATTTTGAGTCTCTGATTTTGGGTGAAGATTTTCTACATCTGAGCAAAGAAGAACTCATATTTTATCTGCAAAAGTTGGAAAAAAATCATGAAGTAGTTTGGCATGCTGTAAGAAGATGGATTTCAAACAAAGATGAAAAATTTGGATCAGAATTAATGGCGACATTGCATTTTGGAGAGTTTCCTTATAAGTTTTTGCTCACTGATCTTCTAAATGATTCTTTGGTAGAAAGTTCTTCAGATGCAAAAAGTTTTGTCATCAAAAAATTACTTTCAAATGTTGATGGGTTGAAAGAGAATTTGTCCCTCGACACTTTATTCATTTTGAGGAAGATTAGTCGGATCGAAAACAATGTTTGCCCAGAGAGTGTCAGAAAAATATTCAAAGAATTCATGGCTCAGAATTTTGAACAGATTGTACCGATGGATGAATTCATCAAGTTGGAAAGAGATGAAATTTTTTTCTTGTTCAAATCTAAGGAAACAAAATATTCTTCAGAGAAAATTAAATGGGAAGCTGCATTGAAATGGACCGAACAAAGTCATTGGCATCAGAAAGTTTTTCCAGACTTGTTCGAGTTGATAAAACTTCAAGATTTTTCTGATGATTTTATTCGACAAGCAGTCAGAAATGAACCTTTGGTTAAAGAGTCGCATAAGTGTAAAGATATATTGCTTGATATTCTCCAAGCCAAAGTTCAAGCTGGTAAACTTGTCCCACATCTTGTGGCCTCAACAACGACTGGCATAAAGGCTCTGAATTCCCAAAGAAATCAATGGTCTAGTTGGCGGTCGGAATATGTTGCCACGCCAACCTTTTCCGGGTGCGGTGCCGCCTACCAACAGACTAATGCACCAGCGGCTAAACTTTCAACATTTGCCCCGATTGCCCCAGCTGCAAGATTTCAGTTCGTCAACTCTTCATCCAATCAAAGCAATGGCAAGTTACAGTTTGGAACCGGATCTAACCAGTCGAAACCAGTGCAGCCTGCAGAGAACAAATCAGGGATTTTTGGTAAAAAAAATCCAGCAAGCAATAACACACAACAGAAACAATCAACTGGATTTAGTTTTGGAGCTTCTGCACCACCGCCTTTCAATTTGTCGTAAGTTAATGAGTTTTTTATGTAATTATTTTTATTTGCCTTCCACTCTATAGAAACAACATCCACTAGTTTTTAATAGGACCTATTCAAATATATGTATTTTGCCTCAAACCGGGCAGTCACTGATAGGTATGGGCATGGGTGGGCAAGGTTTTTGGTTGGTGGGCCATACGACAAAAGTTATATTTTATGAACAATATTCACAGAGTTACAAAAGTAAAAGGGATCAAAATTTGGTTTTAGTTTGGTTGTGTCATCATCAGGCGGGACAGATTGAATTGCCCAGCGAGTCGGATTTTACCCATGTCAGTGTATAGGTTTACTATATTTTGGAATAACGGAGTCCTTCTCATTCAGCATTGCGTACTAACAATAATGAATTTTATTATTCACCTCTTCCAGTGGTTCTTCTCACTCTGAACAAGGCTGTACGCAAGCAAGTTGTGAGCTACAATCTTTTGAAAGTTTTCTCAGTTCGACATTGCCTACCTAATTTATTACACCCGGGGTGAAGCATGGAATTCAAACCCCAGATTTTTACCCAACATAGTTTTCGTAACAAGAGTAAATTTTAAATTCTACTCTCTTTTATTTCAGGGGTGCTCAACCGGCTACACCTCACATCGCTTTCAACAGAAGCACGACAAATACCGCACCTCCTTCTGCCACTCCCGAACGGGTCAGACAAACCAGAAAAAAAACTTGAAAATAAATGAAATAATATTGTGTGAATGTATTTAGATGATATAGCATAACAGTACGAAGCATAATGCTTGTATTGATAATTGCTTTTACCTTATATGGAATTGTGAATTTCAAGTGACAATGTTGCATATTTTGTTGTATTCGAATGAAAAATTTGGTCAAGAAAAATCCGTTTTTTTTTTATCTGATCGAAACAAATTTGGATATTGTATATTTTTCTCGAATTTTCCTCGTCAAAACAGTGTTAGCAAATCACGTGGCAAATGTAGTCTCTCGCTGGACAATACAAAGCCCAGCAGCGGAAATATGCGCCTATTTTTTGGTGTCGCCAAAAATCTCGCCACCGTTACCTACCTATGATCCTTCTATGATCTTGTTTCTTCGCGTTTTTGCCGTCACCTTCGTCTTTAGCTAACACTGAAAGTCTGATCCATATTAGGTTGTCTCTTTTTTTCTGCTTTTTCATTTTTTAATTCTCTGTCTCATCATATTTTTTTTTGCTTGTACGCACGCGATGACCATAGTTTAGCAGTTAAATTTTACTTAATTTCCTTTTTTTCAACAGCATTTTTTATATAAATAATGCGTTTATTTGTCCGTTTGATTCAAGTGATTTTCTATCAACGACAGACTACTTTAGTTGATATTCTACATCCATCCATTACGGGCAACCATGTTATGCTTTTTGCTTCATATTATCCATTTGCTTTTACTTTTTTCATTTGCAACATAATAAAGTTGATATTAATTATTTAACAGAATTGAAAATATTTTATGAAATTCAATGATTGCTGCAAAAAAAATGTATCCAAATAAACTACTTTTGTAATTCAATCTGAAAAATATAAAACTCTGTGATTTACTGTGAGAATGGCTTTTAATGACACTTTTGGATTTGAATGTGGATATTTTTTATTATCTTCATAATTTACTCATTGTAAGTCATGTCATTCTGCACCAGATGAGTCAAATACCTGACCATTTTATATTTTGTTTTAATTGTTGTGCCTATATATATATTTCACAATTTGAATGTTCAGAATTATAGTTCTGTTGGAGTGAAACTGCTTTAGTCATATGGGTGGTCTTATAGTTTCTCTGAAATTTATACTTAGATTATTTTCAATAAAAACTGAAATACAGTTCAGTGGAAAATTTGCATTTTGAAAGATTGAAATATGACCTTGTAGAATTCAAAATTTCAACTTTAATAAAAACATACGAAACTCTGGCTTTGCAGAATGTGACTTCAGCTCCTCTAACCAATAGGTGAAATCTTATTCAACTTTTGTGCCTATATATATATATGTTTAATATTATATATATTCTAAATTAAAAATCTGCTAAATCATTGTTTTTGTCATATTTAAAAATTTGATTTTCTTCAAAAATGCTGATTTTATAGATCTTTGACTTATAATTTCTATATTATATACTTAGAATATTTACTATTTAAATGCAATTGTGTGTTTACTATATAATAAATATGCAGTTATCAATTTATCAGTGATATAGAATAAACTATAGCTGGGTTGTCAGTAATTTATTCACAAAGACAGGATTGGATTAAGTCTTGTGTATTGAAGAAGAGTTGGTAATCCAGTGACCCACAATCAAGTTTGGTCGAATCGATGGCTCGGAACTCTGAAACAGGATAGAATTTCCTTATTTATCGAGAATAAGTAAAGTAATACAGACAGCTTATATCATACCTGAGTAAAAGAAAAATCTACAGAGAGATTAATCGGTACTTCCGCAGTATGTGTACCATGTTAGGTCATGCCATTTCACTTTCCGCAGTAATCAATTTACCAACACGCAACCGAAGTCAGTCTGTATATCTAAAAATGACGGTTTTTGCAGACTGACTATTAGTAGAAGAAAGATCAAATATTAAAAATTGAATCAAATTTTATTTATATTTAATTTTGGGTAAGCTTATAAATTTTCGAATAAATCACAAATCTTGTTTAAAATGATTGCTCACAGCTCTTGACTTCTGGGTGGATCAAATTGAACTTCGTATTTCAATTATTGTGAATCCAATCAACTTGACTTGGAAAAGCTGAGGGCTTAAAAGTATAAGTTTATTTCGACTCCATAATCAGCATAACAATAAAATGATTGGTAAAAAAAATAAAAAAACTGATTATGAAATCAAGAGAGCAAACAACACCTTAGATAAGGTTTAAAACGTACAGAATGTATACAAGATGGAAGGTTTTGCCAAGGAGAAGTGGTACGTGTTCACTCACCTAAAATAAAGGAAATATTTCACACACGCACCCACACACACAATCATACAGAAGTTATAAATTACATACGAGTAGTTTAAAAAAAAAAAAAATTACTTGCCACACCATATTAATAAATTTATAACGTTTGCCACTGCCGAATTGATAGATTTTATAAATGGGAGTGAACGGTGGAGATAAACTTTTATGAAAAATATATTGCCAAGCTGATTATAGTTGGAGTCAATTGCCAAAAATGCCCAACCAAAGTTGCTAGAATTGGGTGCATGAAGAGGTGGGCTAGACCACTTCATTCCCCAAACTAGAGCCTATTATTGCCAAATTATAGTCCAGATTGTAATAAGTATTCAAAGGTACAAGTAAGAAGTAACAGTATAAGTAATTATAATTAACTAAGGTAGGACAACGGGGAATAGAAATATGTTGGTCACTAAGGTTATGAGTAAGGTTTTTTTCAATCTCAGATATTGACTTCTGCAAGGACAAAGGAATTAGGATTGTTATTTCACAGGATCATTTCTTCATTTACTTAATGTAACGCAATTGTTGTCAATTCAAATTTATCATAGATGAGACATCAGACTGCCAATTTTGATGATGTAGACACCCTTTATATTCAATAAGCTAGCCATTAAATTGGTCATCAGAAACGACCTGAAAAACAGAACAGAAAATAAATCTGCGAGTAGAATATTCAAGGTTTACATATTAGGAAATAACACTCACTAGTCACTACCCTACACTTTCGTTGAGAAGAAATTATAATTTTGAGTAAATATTGATCATTAGTTATTTATCTTTATCGCAAGTTGAAAGATCTGAGTTGAATTCTGGTTGGGACACAGGGTAAATAATCTTCGCAAACCATGCAAGAACTCTCAAACAACACACTAACCATTTGTATGTTGGCCTTTACGTTAACTTCACAGCAGAACCTTAACCTAGGATAAAATTTTGTATACACACAAGACAAATCATGGAATACCACAGAAAATTAAAATAAAGGGGAGAATCAAATATATCTCGACGGGTCGCCTAATTACAGTAATAGGTACAGGAGTTAAATTATACCTTCTACAACCCTCACAAAGAAACACACCACTCAAATAGAAATGAAAGATTATGCATGTGGAATATCGGAAACTCAACAAAGAACATGCACATGCAGATATCACAAATTGACTCAATCAAGCGAGTCTCATTATTTACTGTTCGTGCACCCACCAGAATTTTTTTTCTATCTCACTCTCAAGTTTTACTAAGGAATCCAGTTATGCAGATTTCATCAGCTTCTGGGAGGTGTCTAATTTACTGAGCTGCTATAAGAATCTGGTCTACCGGTATTTAATAACATGTAATTCACTGCTACATTTTGACACTTGAGTGGTAGCCTATCCTACAACTTAGCCTCATTTACTTCTGAGTGAGTCTGTGTCCACTTTGAGCATATTTACTGTTACAAACACACGAGAAATCCATTTTAATGAATTCGATTAGTCCCAATACTCTTGCTAAAGCTGTATTTATTTATAGCGGTAATTAGAGCTTTGTACCTATTACAGGGTGCAATAAACTAGGTAGAAAAATAACTGGGAAAATTTAGGACGCTTCCGGTCTTACCGTAAATGGCTGCTTTTTATATCTCATTAGCAGGGCATCATTCGTAGAGAAAAAATGTCTAAGAAATGGTGGCTGTATTAGGCTACCAGCCTCTGTAATTCTCAAAATGCCAGTTCATTTCAAGCGTTGCATGTCTCATTGGCATTCACACATGAATGGTGGGTGTTTGAATATGAAGATAGCTAGCTATCTTGGAGGTTTAATTTTCTGACTTGATTGGCTCGAAAATTGCAATAAATTCTCAGGAAATAAGAAATTTACATTGGCATTATTGGCACTTACTCTCATGGTTCTAATTATATAGTTTCGGTAGCTCTTGGCATTTTAGGAGTTGCACGTTTCTATTTTCAAAGATCTGTCTTATTTACTAGTGACTCTGCCTTGAGCAAACTTGTTATCAAATCTACCTAAAATAATTATTGTTTGTGGATTTATTGGCTATGAGGTGCTGTTTTGACTATGTTAATTTAAAAAACTTTAAATATTACAGGTCCAAACTATTCAGTGGTCGAATAATAGTTTATTCTAAAGTGAAGGAATATTAATTATTCTTGAGTGTGGGGTTTGCAGGTCACACATATCGAGTTTGAATTCCATGATAACTTCCGCCTGGATTGTAACAAATTGGGTCAATATTGAGAAATATTGCTGGCTTTCCCAGAACAGTAACTCCTTGCAAATTGTTCGATATATGTGTAAGCTTGTACAAGGCCTTGTTCAGAGCGAAACGTGTAAAAAAATGTTGAATAAAAAAACTTGCCCACAGAAAATTGTTATAAAATATTAGTGCAATATTTAATGCTTTAATTTCAGAATTCATTCTGGATTTGGCGAAGCCTCTCCTAAACTTCTTCGTGAACTTGTACTGATAGCTGGATAAGCCAAAACTAAATATGCCAGTGCATTCTTGATATTCCCATATTTGAGGACTACCATACTGTAATTGCTCGAAATGGCAAAATGTTGGATGAAAATATTCCATATTATTCCTGGAATCAAACCTTACTACCGGCATATCGAATAATTTTTTTGATGTATTCAATATGTTCAGGACACCCCTGCCCACACATGCGTGCACAATCCATCACAGCAAAAGAACTGTCATATTCCAATTTCTCTAAATCATTTGTGCGCAACTTTAATACAGGAGGTCCAGATAGAAAAAACTGGATGAAACAGCCGGCCGCACTTTAACATAAGCTATCTAGTAGTTGCAGACGCAAAAATTTTGGGTATTGATCATGTGATATGCATTGTTTGCACAAGACTCAGATATAGAATTCACAACGCAAAGCGATTAGAATTACTCGCATATACCAAATTAAACTAATTGATTAAATTACCAAAAGATCAGCCAGAATTTTAAAAATGATTTTCAATATATGCCCTCCCCTTAAAATAAGACCTAATCAATAACGCTAAATTTTGTAGGTGCAAAAATTCACCAGAAAATTAAGTAAATGAAATCTTCATTAAAATTTAGGAATCTGGTGGCTTGCAAGGCATTCCAGATGGGTATGATGTGGTCATTTTTCAATAATCTATGTTTGGCGGTGTTTTTGATAAATGAAAATAAATACATTCCCCAAAAATAGGCACTCCTGTTATTCTTGAAAAAGAAATAGGACCAGGTCTTATTTCCGGGAGAACACGCTATATCGAACATAAATCATGTTCAAAGTATTCAACATATTTAGGACACTCCCGCCCACATATGCTCGTTCATGCGTGGCCCACATATATAAGTCATTGATATAACAGCATGCTTAGGCACAATCCATCTTAGCGAAAGAATAATTAAGGAACGTGTTGTTAAGATTAACCATTCTACCGTATTACAGTAGAGATGAGTGGGAACGTTTATATCCGAACTGGCGTCAGATAATTTAAACATTTGTTATTAGCTACAGGTGAACTTTGAGCCTTTGAATTATGCTTCATTGGGTCTGTGGCAATTGCTTGTATCCAGTACTATGTTGTAGTTATTTGTCACTGACAACTAGGCTTATCGCTATCTTACGCTACTGATAACTGGATTGCGGCAATCGGTTAAACAACAATGAAAAAACTGATATTTCTCAGTAAGATTGAATTGAATAAATGTGAAATGCTTACGAGTAATAAATACATAGTTAAAGGTTCATCCTAGGTGGTACAATTTACGTTTGACCAAACCTAGGGAATCAATGAGAGTATAAGATGGCATTATTGTTGTTGTCAAATTTATACGCTGTCAATGCCGCACCACAACCTTTTTTTCCTTTCTGTTTTATCCCGAAGAGAGGGAAGTCGGCTTATTCATATGGCGAACCACGGCCTCTCATCCGGTTACCAGTCCATGCAAGATATGGGATTAGTTAGCCAAATATTTGTTTTCGCAAGCATGGTTTGAATAGACTCATGGACTTGATTTGTATATCCTGTGGCTCTCTAGTGCTCAGAGATCTGGCTCCTTTATCTGTGAATGCGTATGAATTGCTTTAAGCAAATTTGTTTAAAAACTTTCAGATTATTTACCTTTCAACAGGTTAGAAATTTAGTGGTAGAGTGATATCAGGATAGTGCAATTTTTGTCTGTAAGTATGTTCATTTGCCTCAAAAATGTAAAAGTATATTTTCATTAAACAAAAAAATTATTTTTTCAGTGTGCTTTGCTAAAATTTGCTATTAACTTTTAGTGATGTAGATTTAACTGTAGTAACTGTAGTAGTAACCTGACCACGAAGACGTGACTGTTTGATTTTTCGAAACTATGCTATGGCTCAGAACCCTGATTGTGAATAAGTAAGGATTCAGTACGTTGCACATGGACAATCTACAACAAATTTCGACCCACTCACAAGTCGGGTACATGCGCCCAGTAACGAACTTTCTCTTCCTCAAACCATGTGAAACCAAGACAGTACAAAAATCGTTTGTAAAAACCTTTTAAGTTATACTTCACTGCTTGAATATTCTCGACTTATAAATGGTCCATATACGATGGTACGTGTTAGTGCAACACAAGAGTTGCGCAGGAATGTTCCACCGGGACGAGTATTTCCTCAACTAGTGACAGAATTCACATCTTACCAACAATGCCAGCACCAGGGCCATATTATTACCCAGCGGAACAGATCTTTTCAATTTGCCCAATAACACCTGCTTCGCCAATGTATTTATGATCACAGCCTGCACCAGGCAACCACCCTGCAATCTTTCAATTTGAATTAGAGATTGAACTACATTACTATCGTTTGCTGATGTTTTGTATCTCAGGTTGGTTATAAAATTAACTGGAATCATCTGAACTATTTGCAGATCGTATTCATCATATGTAAATATCGATTGTACACACAATATGTGTGTCTTGAATTGTCTTGATTGAATGTTTCTTATATTAGATCAATGTAAAATCGGTTTGAAATATAATAACACAATGTTAGTATTCGATGAATATGGGCAATATCAGTGATCTGTGTGTTATATTCATTAAAAGTTATTATTTGTATAAATCTAGTTTGTTTCAATGATCATTAATTTGCTGCCAGGGTCAAAGGTAATTTATAATCACTGTTATCCAGGATATGCAATATTATAGTTTTATTGTCACATTCTCTAGAATTGCATGAAAATTGTCCTGAGTGCAATTTACAAGTACATAGATAGTAGATAGACAGATGGTAGAATGTTAGATTGAAAGTAAACACCGATGGCTGAGACTTGAGAGCTATGCACAGATTTATCCTCGTGAAGGATATAGTAGTTGGCACAGGACTTTCAACACTTCAAATATGTGAAAAAAACTTGTTCACGTGATATTATTCCGAAAGATTATTGTGTGAAACAACCTTAATCTTAGTATAAATCCCCAATCTTCACAATTTGAAAAAAGCGCATTTGCTGCCAAGTTTTGTGAGGATTTGGATGATCGGAAGCGTTTCGGATTACCCACCTACTTAGATATCAAACAATAGTTTTTGAACAGACAACCCGCATTGCTGTATTCTAGCGCAATTATTTGGAATACATAAATTCCAATTCCCAATATTCACTCTCAACGAAGCTCTGCACTGCGATGTCACTGTCAATTTAGTTTTTCAATGCAACCTTTGCCCACCCCAGTTCTAGAATATGTTCCAAATAACCTGAGTCCTTGACATCCTGTACTTACATTGTAAGTGTTAGATTAAGTAAGCAAATACCGAATTGAAAAGATTCTGGACCTACCATAAATATTAGCTTCTTACATTTCTGTGACAGTGCCTTGTTCATAGTGAACATCGTGAAAATGCATCGTATGATAAATATATGACTCAGAAATGTCTGGGACAGCTTCAAAAGAGTATTTAGGGAGGTAATCTTATAGAAAAAGAGAATAGCAGATTCTGATGCACCAGTGACAGATTGTTCACAGCCTGGTCAGAATTGAAGGTGGGAAAACGCATTGATTTGAATTATAAAATGATTGTGCTATTGGTCACCTTCTAGCCATCGACTTCATATATTTATCCCAAGTTAATAACATTCTGAACAATCCTTCGGATATAATTTAGCTAGAATTCTGCTCATATTTTAGTAACATATCAACCTTTGTGTATTGCATAAAGCCGTGCTGGTAAACTAGTCATAGCTCATAAGGAAATAGATTAGCTGACGTCAGTCGATAATTTAATAGTGTAATAATTTACATTTGTAAGATCGAGCATGGTCCGTTGGTAAAATACACTGCGGAGACACTGACCATGTTTGGAAAACACGATTTCTAAATACATTGGTAATATGATGCCAATAGGTAATTTAATGACTGGAGTTGACGAAATACCAAATATACCTGTTATATCTCTATGATGCTTAGATTCGTTTATTTTATCGCTCGAATTGGGACTATAGTGTAGTGTTGTCTACAGATAATACTAATACTACGGTGACTGGGACATCATTTTAATGTAGCAATAAAAATTTGAGCCTATTTTTTTTTTTGTCTGTGAGGTAGCTGACAGTAAACGGGAGCTCGCAGCTAATCAAATTAGATGAGAGAAAACTGTTTTATAGTCTTTGACAGCAATGTTTCATTCACATCTTTGTAAACTCTATATTTTGTATAATGCCACTGACTCATATATTCCTTCCAAGTCCTTCATTATTGCCAAATACCAATTAATTTATTTTCACTCTGGTGGGCCAATGCTGAATTTAACAGAGCATATGGCCCAATATCAAGCTGCTACTTGAAAGTTTCCCACGAATTTGTTTTCATTCAGAAATGCTCAAATTTAAACAAATTCACTTGTAAAACACAAGTTAGGTGAAACATCTCATATCCAATTACTTCTGATTCTAAATAGAACAGGCAGTTATGTAAATTTTCTTTCGAAAAATAACACTAGGGCTTTTTTGGGGATGTCTTTTATTTTCATCTATCAAAATCAAAATGACAAAGTTGAGAAATGCTAGATTTTCAAATACACAAAATATAAAAACCGATATTAATTGATGAATATAGATTATTCAAAAATGATCATATCATCATCATCTGGAATGTCTTGCAAGTCACTAGATTCATAAATTTTTGAATTCAAAATTTTTCGCTATCGACTAGGTATTACTTTAGGAAGGGCTTGATTTAAAAACCTTTTTAAAAATCAGGCTAGGTATTATATTTCGGCTAGGTCTTATTTTCGGGGGAATATGGTAAGAGTAAGAGGGAACATTCATAGCAAACTCAAGTAAAGCAATATAGATAAAATATTAAGTTTTATCTGAATTTCCAGTTTGGGCTTTTCGAAGTCTCTTTGAATTTGGAACGCTTTTAGGAAGTTTTAGGAATATTCGATCGTTACTGTCATAATCGAGTCGGAGTCATGTATCTGACAAATCTTGTTCCTAAGTGAGGATTCCAACAAAATCGGGCTTGTTTGTGCATGTTATTTATAATCATGGGTTAGTGCTATATCATCCCTCAAATATATTATCACATGCTGCGTAGTGTTACAATAAAAGTACTAAACATAGGTAGATAGACACACAGCAATGCGAGTTGTGTTAAAAGAAAAGACTAAAATTTGAAAAAATTAAGGTACAATGTTTGAAAAGCATTGCTCCAGGAACATTGCTGTATAAATTAGAATTTGACTGTTTTGTAACCTTGAATTTTATTTAAATTATATTACTACTACCTATCTTTATACTTACTAATCAATTTCTACTTATCTATATTGTGTTACAAAAAACGAAATTCTGACTCAAATATTACTTACTATAGAAATATTACAGAATTCTAGTTACATCAGCATCTTTAACTGTTACATAAGGCCTCACGATATGAGAAGATTTGGCAGGAAATCGAAATGGCTTGATTTTGCCAAAATCTGCAAAGATTACCCACTCATTGAATGTACTTTACGTCCATTCCAATGAACTTAAAAACAATCTGAATTGCATTTGTAACTTCACAATCAAAGTTTGGTGACAAATCTTTCAAAGTCCATTCGAGACCTGCTTTGCCGCAGTATCAAAGTACTTCAAAGGCATGTTTTCAAGTAACATGGTTGAGTCTCGGAATGGTTTTGTCATTATGAAAGACATCTGTGCTGATGCTGTTAGCGGCAGTGTGTAGATTTCATGTATACGGGTCAAGCAAATCCATCCATGGGAATCTGTAGAAATACTTTGTATGCTTTCTCACTTAATGCAGCTTGATGTATTATCACAGTATATGCTTCAATTTCATGGAAAATAATCTGTCAGTGCAGCATTGCCTCCTAGTGGTCAGGTTGGCAAAGCTTTATGATCGCACAGGCTGCTAGAAACCATTACTGATCGATTTCATTTTGGATAATTTTGAGTCTCTGATTTTGGCGTGAAGATTTTTTACATTCTGAGCAAAGAAGAACTCGTATTTTATCTGCAAAAGTTGGACAAAATGCATGAAGTAGTTTGGCATGCTGTGAGAAGATGGATTTCAAACAAAGGTGAAAAGATTGGATCAAATTAATGGAGAACTTGCATTTTGGAGAGTTTCCTATAAATTTTTGCTCACTGATCTGCTAAGTGATTCTTTGGTAGAAATTCTCCAGATGCGAAAAAGTTTTGTCATCAAAAATTGCTTTCAAATATCGATGGGTTGAAAGAGAATTTGTCTCTTGAGACTTTATTCTTTTGAGGAAGATTAATGTCTTGAAAACAGAGTTGACTCAGATAATGTCAAGTAATATAATCAATGAATTATGGCTCAGAGATTTTTTTTGAACAGAATTGTACCAATGGGATGAATTTATTGAGTTGGAGCAAGATGAAATTTTTCTCTTGTTCAAATCTCCGGTAACGAAATATTTTCAGAGAAAATTAAATGGGAAGCTGCACTGAAATGGGCCAAACGAAGTCGTCGCCATAAGAATTTTTTCCAGAACTTATTTGAGTGATAAACTTTCAGGAATTTTTCTGATGATTTATTCAACAAACAGTCAGAAATGAACCTTTAGTTAAAGAGTCGCATAAATGTAAAGATTTATTGCTTGATATTCATTATCCCAGAGCTCAGATGGGAATACTTGTCCCACATATTGCTGTCTCGACAAGAACAGGTATAAAGACTCTGAATCTCCAAACAAATCAATGGTCTAGTTTGCTGTCAGATGATGATGTTGACATTCATCTTGTCAATGCTGAGGGACGATTGTATGCTTCAGATGGGAATGAATTATCTTCGCTGCAGGATGGGCAATGGATTAGGAAGACCAAGGTTAAAAGAATGAAAGTAAACGATCATACAGTTTATCTCAAGGGTGGGATTTATATTATCGGCTTTGATCAGCATACAGTGCGTTATGACATTGCCAAAGACAAATGGAATACGAATTTGCCCCCATGTCTCCTTGATTATGGTTTTTGTGCTTCTGCCTCTGGTGGGTTCATATATGCAATGGGAGGTCATTCAACACTTAGAGAAGCAATAGTATACGATCCTGAAACAAAGGAATGGTCTTTCCTGCCTCAGATGATTTATGGAACACAGAATGGTGCAGCAGTCGTTTTTCAAAGCAAGGTTTACGTACTTGGTGTCGGAGGAGTCGAAGGTGTTTCTGGACTGCTTCCTTCCAACTTTGTTCAATGTTATAACCCTGTTGTTTGCTCATGGACAGAAATTGCAATAATGAAGATGAAGAGAGAATGTTTCAGTGCATGTGTTGTTGATAATAAAATGTATGCAGTCGGTGGTGCTAAAGGTGAAGGTCTGAATAAGGATTCTATTGAAACATTCAATGAAGAAACTGGTGAATGGGAAATAGTCTGTGAAATGGATCGACCTGCTGGAATGGGTTTATTGCTGTAGCTATGCTCAATAGATGTGTAACCATTGGTTCAAGTTGAAAATGCTAACTATATTACCTTTTCTATTCGGTCATTGGTGGCGATTCGACGTCAATAAAACTTCCCAGATAGATGTTGACTATACCAGGGGTGGGCACACCGTGCGGCTCTTCTCGCTAACATGACTTATTATCAAAATTTTAACTAAGAGAAAAACTTTAATGTAAACTTTTTTAATTTAATAAAAGTTTTTGTCAATGATTAAGGCAAACTATGTTTCAGTATGAAAATCGTCGTAACGCTAAATTTTGAATTTAAGTCAGTCAAGTCTGCAAATCTTCCGTCATAATGGTCAATGTTTATTGATGCGTCGGCGGTATTGCAGCTTGATTGCGGTTAGTTAGTCTAAGTTACTGTGCGATATGTCATCAAATAATAAACGAAAGTACGAAATGGAAACAAAGTTGTCAAGTCAGAATGGGAAGAAGAATACGCATTTACCAGTCAGAAAAATAAACCTTTGTGCTTAGTCTGCCATAAGCTACTAGGTCAGAATAAAGTCAGCAATGTTGAACGGCAAAAAAATCATGAAAACTTCTCACGAGACTACCCTCGTAAATCAGCTATAAGGAAACACAGATTGAATGAGCTCAAATTGTGCATATATTTGAGCATAGCTGCCTTGTTTATCTATTTATTGGGTACTCCTGAAGTATGCGCACCAAGATGTGGCTTAACCTGAACCCTAACCTGGTACACAACCTAAGTTCAGGTTGTGCACCATCTTGGTGCGCATACTTCAGGAGGTCCATTTATTATTATTAGACTTTTGTGTGATTTCTTTTCTGTTCATGGTATTTTATTAATATCAAATTCATAATTTCTGCGGCTCTTTTAAAGTTCTGACTTGCAGCATGTGGCTCTTATACTAAAAAATTGTGCCCACCCCTGGACTATGCTAACTGTATGACCCACGATAATTTCTTATTCCATTCATGTATATAGTTGATGTTTATAACTCGTTAAATCTACATATTCCCAACAAGCAATCTATCTAAAGGTGAGCAGTAGCATTTTCTACCCCGTCTATCACAATCTGGTGTGTTAGGCATGAGCTGAATAACATCGGCTCAAACATCATTGCCATGAAATTGCAGAGTTGAGCTTACGGGCAGCCATGATATTTTTGCTTCATATTATCCAATTGCTTTTAATTTTTTTATATGCAGCATTTTATTATATATAATTAAAGTTAATATTATTTAATTGAAAGAATATGAAAACATTTTATGAAATTTAATGACTGCTGCAAAAAAATTGTGTCAAAATAAACTATTTTTGTATATTGTACTACTTGAGTACTTTTATTGTATAAAAGTTTATATTATTTAATATATTATATAAAAATGACTGCTGCAAATTGGATTAAAAATTTTATATATATTTATTGTTAGTCATTTCATTCTGTACCAGAGGTTTCGAATACTTGACTATTTTATATTTCGTTCTGATTGTTGTGCATATATATACAGGGTGTCCAAAAAGTTTCGCCCGATCATAAAGTCTCATCACATTGCTGTTTCGAGGTTACGAACGCACTCCATAAAAATATAAAAGATAATACTGTACTGTAATATCTAAGACCTTAAACTGGATCATTGTGATCAAGAAAATCAGTGCTTTGGGCTTATTGGTTTTTGACATTCACATCGTAAATGACGTGGACAATACAGTACGATATGTATAGAGTAATTTGTGTACTGTACAGTATAATGTTCCGACTTACACTGAAATTCGGGTTACACCGCGTCTCGAGAACGGAACAACGTTGTAAGTCGAGGACTCCCTGTATAATCGAATGATATAATTTTTTCTAATTATAAAAAGATTAATAGTCAGCCTGTATCTAATTGGATGTTATAGAATAGAGGTTGGATATTCTAGTCCCCGTTTTTTTGGACACCCTGAATATATATATATGTAGAATCACAATTAGAAACATTTAAATTATGGAATATACGTTTCTAATTGTAATTCTTTTTTTGTAAAATCGCAGAGATTTTACGTTCGACTCTAAACTTAAAAAACAATTTGAAACTATGGTTCGGAGATAATGCAAATTTCAACTGCGGTTACAATACTTTGGCTCCTACTCCAGCTCTGACAAAACACAATATTAATAACAAAATCTTTGACCTATACAAATGCAACACGTGAGCATGCGCAACATTCAAAATTCTGGCTCTACAGACACATTTTTGATTAATGATATATATTGTATTTTCATGAACATTAGGGTTAGATTTACAGATTGAAGGATTTTCCTTTCTTCTTGGTTTTTTCTAATCCAGCTGTATTTTGTTGTTTGAAACTGTATATGTGTATATTCAATATTTTAAATTTCTAATTCCCTACTAAATCATTGTTCAAAAATTTTGATTGCTTTGAAAAGGCTGAAATTTATAATCTGTTTTTTGCATCCATATTCCAAGCATTTATAGTTTTTGTCTGATTTTGCAATTTTAATCACCTTAAATTCTGAACACTTAAATTTGTGCAATTGTGTGTTTACTATATAATAAATATTCGATTAATAATTTCTCAGATGTATAGATTAAACTGTAGCTAGGTTGCCAGTAATCTATTCACAAAGACAGGACTGACTTCCAGTGACCCACACTCAAGCTTGTTTAAAACAATAGCCCACACCCTGATTTTGGGAATGTAAGCTTTGAATTTTGGTTCCGACCAAGTCGGATGCAAACGTGGCTACTTCAAATGGCTGAAACGTGCATGGTACATTCACCGCTGCCACAGAATGCAGTAGTTAGATATTCATATACATTATTGTGAATTTGGAATTAACAATAAAATCAAATAGGAATCTAAAGTATAGATTGACCTACAGTTTTATAGTTGAATTACAAGCTGAAACGGAAACTTTCTACAAATTCAAGAATGCGCCATGAAGTAGAAGCTGTGACAAAGCTAGGACGAAGTTTTATTTAACGGGAATTTTTTTAATTTTGGTATGTATAAAGTATCACCATGATCTTCCTTTGATCAGTGTCTCGCATCCTAAATTGATTTATTAATTATTCCTAATTAATTAATTTTATTTCAACGTTTTCCTACGTTTTTTTTCAACAAAACATTACAAACACCCTCATTATAGCAAAAATGGTTACTCTGAAATTCACGATTGTATTTACAGAATTTTTAAGTTCAACGCTTCAATTAACCATTTTGATGACATCACACCTCTAATTATTATTGCACAGCCACCCCCTCCCAAATGCAAAACAATTTACTTTTTTAGATCGAAATGCGCGCAGAAAGTCGTAAACAATCCAATGCGTGTCGTTACGCGTGGAAATTACCATTAATTTTACGTTTTTTTCATGTTTGAAATATCTTGATACCTATGCCGAGTAAGGTGCAGTCAAAATCACATTTTTCAAAACATCAAAACGGTATGTACGACTGAAAATATATGCCAAACCAATATTAAGTCATTATAAATGAGGCACTGTTATTTAAAAGGTATTGCCCAATTTTATATCGCGTCTTTATATTATTGTGTTTTTTGTGTGGACGTACTTGTGCGTTTTTAACTATTTTATTAGGTTATGCCCGTCCTTCAGGTCCACTGCATTTTGTTTGTCCGTTAGTTGATTGATTTAATATGGCGCGCCTGAACAATCTACAATGAATTTCAACTCACTCACCAGTTACGTACTTGCTCAACCCATGAGAAGCCAAGGACAATACACAAAAGATTTTGTGTGAACTTGAAGCGTTAAAGTTATACTTCACAGCAGGCATATTCTTGCCAAAAAATCGTCTGACTTTCAAATGGTCAAGTATATGATGGTACCCCAATGCAGTTGAAGATTTACCCAGGAATGCCTGTTGCACAACCAGCGTTGGTTGTTTCTCACAGAAAAAAATTCCTCAACCACTAACAGGAGTTCCACCCTTCCAACAATGCCAGAAGCAGGACCATTTCCCACTGGTATGGATGCTCCTACAACCACCTTTGGTGTTGCATATTAACGGTTTGGAAATTACAACTAGAAATTTGGTTGCGATATGGGGAAGTTCTGATTGTTTTATTTGTCTTGTCATATTGGACATTGAATGTATAGATGGAATAATGAATATTTTGAATTTGCAGCCGTGGAGTCTTAGCTATTCAATTAGAGATGTATCAACACATCGATATCGGACAATTTTTGGTATCCGCTAAATGTAGACCGATATATTAAGCTTTTTAATAGTGATCCAGGATGTTTTATGAAATATTACGGATGTTGAAATTCTTTTTCGCTTGGAGGGATCATCTTTGAGGTCTTGGCCTCCGTCCTCGACTCAAACTTCAAGTTAAAATGACTGCAAAAAAAATTTGTCGTCTGAAAATCTTCTTTCATCAACTGCTGAAAAGGCTTAGCCATGATTACTCTTTTTTGGACTCCCGTAGTATGTGTAACAGGTTAAGGTTAAGCCATAATTTTATTCCAATTTTCCTTATTTTAGTTCTATTAAGAGTTCGAGGACTAGTCAAGTGACTCCCGTAGTGTTCGTACCTGAAATTATGGCCTTACCATGACCTAGTACAAATACTACGTTCCGGTGTCCGCCATCTTGGTTCGTATACTACATGAGTACCTTCTTTTTACGAGTTTTGGTAAGAAAAGTTTGAGAATTCGATTCCACAGCGATAAATAATAGAAATATTTGTTTCATTCAAATGCGTCCTATTATTTCAATCATATTTTTATTCCATATGAAAAGTATTTAAAAAAGGCTTCGACGCAGACCCTAAAGTGGGAAAAAATTTTGGCCTATACACTAAACAGGCTTTCATTAAATTGTATGTTGAGTACTTTGTGAGTTTCGGCCAACAATTTTCATTATTAAAAACTGAAATTCTGACTCTGTGAAGTTTTCTGTTTCATGTGCATAAAAATATTAGCATTATTTTTATTCAAATGCAATTGCTATTTTAATCTATTTATAATA